TTAAATTACAAATATTTAATTATTTTAATTTTTTAATAGATTAATTTATAAATATATTTAAAATATTTAATTATAATATACCGTATTTGATACGATACTCAATATTCAGTATTTTTAAATTAATACCAAATACCGTCCCAAAATCTCAATGGTATCGTTTTTATACCGATTTTTTATTTTTGTCGATACATGTCCCAGTACCAATTCCTGAAAACTTGGTACGTACCGATGGGACAGTACAATTTCTCGACTCTTGCCCACCCCTAGCTTTCCTTTTTAATCCATTAGTGTTGGAAGTTCATCCATCTCTTTTACCAACAAGAAAAACAAGAAAATTTAAAAATTAAATTGCTAAAGTACTTCAATTATTCTAGAAACAACTAAATCTTTTCACAAAAATGTGGGGTTAACTATTATTTCTAATGTCATCTTTTTACAAGAAGTCAAGAGATCAAATAAGTTAAGTTATAATGAACTGGTTAATATAGCTCAATAAGAAAACATAACGTTGATTTGGTATCGTTCATAGAATGGGTGTTATGGGGGGTACGAATACCTTCCTCACGTAATTGTACTCTCGAATCCAACTTTGGTTCAATAGGCCAAATTTCACCTATTGCAAATAGGCCACATTAAGGTAATCAATCACACTTTAATAAAAGATTGGTAATGGTTCCAAAAATCATTCAAAGTTATGAACCTCGTTAAGACCCCTTGCCTACCTGAAGGAATGTTGCAATAATAAGTAAATTTGAAGAAGAATCTCATTGCATTTAATGGAGTCTTCCTTAGAGTTTGAGATGCAATTGCGAGAGTACTCGTGCTTCTTTCTTAAAAAAGTCTCCACCTTAATGAAGAATGCCTCTATTATCAAAAAGTTTGTTCATTTTTGTCCCCTAGAGCTTTTAGCTAAAGGAATTCTCATCTTCCCCTTTCTCATTTCCTTTTCTTCCTCTTTTTTTTTTTTTTTTTTGACATTTGGGTGTTTAGATTTCATGAAAAGACATCTTATTAAAATCTACTCTTTCTCCTTATTCTTCATTTTCAAAGAAAAAAAATTCTCAAGTATATGTCTTTTGTAGCACCCAATAATTAAACTAATTTCATTATTGATTAGTTATTCTTTGTTTAGTAATACTACTCAATCATTCTAGACATCATACCACCAAATATTCTTGGCCATATATGAGAAGATGAATTTCCACATAATAAAATTGTTAAGTACTTTGGCAAAATTATTATTGAGTAATGTGCTTAAAATGCTTAAGGGTCTTCTATCTTTTAATGATTTTTTATGGTATTTTTAGTATTATTTTTCAAACATTAATTTTATGAATCCATTTCATCTTCACACGACATTTTCATTATGTTTTTTTAGTGAATCTCTCTCTTAGTCACTCTTTGCCTCTCTCCTCTCACAATTTCTATCCCCTAATTTCTCTTCTTATACAACTCTCAGATATTATATTATAATTTTGTGGTATTTTTAGTATACCTTCTAATAATTATACATTTATCTTTCTTTATTTCTCTTTCCTCAATTTGATTTTTTTAAAAAATAATATTAATATAACCTAATCATATTAAATTACAAAAACGTAAAAGAGACTCTTAGGTTGCATTTAAGGTTGCTTTTCAATAACGATTTTTTTACATAATACTTCATAAAAGAGTTAATTTATTATGATTAAATTAATTCTAATTGGTATTTTATATAATTTAATGCCATATTAATAGATAAAACTCTTTTCAAAATAATTATTAGGCAATAATATAATTTTTTCATAGTAAAATACTAAAAATAGCATATAAACTTATTCCTTTTTTT